TCTACGCCTATGAAACAGAAAGGATCTCTTCTCAGGTCTGTTAAGAGGGCGACCCCAAAACCTGAGTGAAAGTGCCGCTCCATAGCACTGAGGGGAGAAATGTGCAGTAACCAATGCCCAACCGACCATCACGAACCGGGATATATGTATTATCATGGTTTGGGCAGCGTAATCTCATCAATAAGGATTATGCGCAATGAGACAGGAAGATTTAAATAGTGTAGGATTTTTTTGGTCCTAGAATAATTTGCACGCTCAGGCGTTCTGAGACACAACAATATGATACCCATTTGAGATAGAATTCAATCAAGGATTGCTTAGCACCTTGAATATTACGACATAACATTAATACTAAGTCTTGCCTTTAGGTATATGGTGTGTCTTGATAGCTTCGGTTATGCCCCTCCATGGCTTTGGATCGGCACTGGGTTACTTCCCTAGGACGGACCTCACCCAATGGGCATTACCACACGCATCAATGCTAGAGAAAAAGAGGAAATCTTAGTGATTATAAATGATATATCAATCCAACGCGAAATGGATGCTCCACTTGAGAGTTCAGAAGAAAATAAATGAAAATTAAGGGCATTAGAATATGCTATTCGGAGGTGAATATTGGTGTAACAGGGAATGTAATACGTCAGTGGTCGGTACTAGGATAATTCCCGTAGGGCAAAAAAAAAGACGACGGCAATTGAAGACAAAAACTCCACGGCTCTCCAAACAAGCTCCAATTGCGGATCGACACCACCCCTCGCCGAAACTCTTGGTGCGACAGGCTTCGCGAAGCTCTCGGGCCCTTCATGAGGTTTGCGGATTTGGTCATCGACCTTGCGGCCGTGCTCAATGCCTCCCGCTCCGTCGCAACCAAGCATGTCGCTCTTCGCAGCCGCCAGATCGATGCCTACAGCCGAACCTCGAGCGTCGCCGCGGCCTTTAGACAAAGGGGTGCTCCTAGCGACCCCCAGCACGAGCAACATGAGCCTCCTCGAACCGATGATGTTGCTGCCAAGGCAGAGGAGAACGTAGACCGAAGCGATGTCCAGCCCACGCCGCCGCAACCACCACCACCACCTCCTCCTCCTCCTCCTCCTCCTCCTCCTCCTCCTCCTCCACCTCAGCCCGTGCGCCCCACGATATTCGAGACCCAGAGAAATGATGCCAAGGTCGAGCCGAAGGTGTCTAGCAGTGGAGATACCGATCTTCCACCGGGCGTCGACATGAATGTATTGTTCAGGACTTCCCGAGGCTCTCAGATCTTGGATTCTGTACGAAAGCAGCGGGCAGCGGACGTGCTGAGGCCTGAGGAGACAAAATCCAGTGCTCCTAAGGAACATCCAATGCGCAATTGGCCGATGACTCCGTCGCCGCCACCACCACCGCCGCCTGTCCCTGAGGTACCCAAACAAAAGGATGAAACAGCCGAGCCACAGCCTCGATCCGAAACTATCTCCCCAGTAACGGAACCAGTACTGCAGAAGACACAGATCGAAAGCCAGCCGCCCGTCGCTCCTGCGGCAACAACCATTTCACACCCCTCCGCTCAGGAGATCTCTGAGTTAGCAGAGGATCTGAAAGCTGCCCCTCAACCCAAGAGCACTTACAACCTTCGCGAGTCCAAGGTACCGTCAAGTAGGCTTGGCCGTATATGGAACTACGGAGGTCTGGCTGCAGGCATGCTGGGCGGAGCGATGACGGAGAGTGTGAGCAGAGCCTTTGGTGGAGGTGGAGAGGGCTCTGTCCTGCTCAGCGGAAAGAACATGGAGCGTCTAGTTGCGAAGTTATCACGGATGAGAGGTGCTGCCCTGAAGCTCGGGCAGATCATGAGCTTCCAAGACTCAAAGATGCTTCCCAAACCCCTCCAGGAGGTCCTCCAGCGAGTTCAAGATAGGGCCGATTACATGCCTGCCTGGCAGCGGGACCAAGTGCTGGCTGCCAACTTGGGTGCTGAATGGAGAGAACTCTTTAGTGAGTTTGAGGAAAAGCCGATTGCCGCAGCATCTATTGGGCAAGTGCACAAAGCTACGCTAAAGTCCAACGGCAAGAAGGTTGCTGTCAAGATCCAATTCCCAGGAGTGGCAGAGTCCATCAACTCAGATCTGGACAACATTGCTATTCTTCTCAACGCAACAAGCCTGCTGCCGAAGGGGTTATATTTAAACAAGACAATCGACAACGCTAGAGTAGAGCTCGGCTGGGAGTGCGACTACGAGCGTGAAGCCAGCTGCCTTGCGCGGTACAAGGAGTTTCTCCAGAGCGAAGAGGACATTTTCAGCGTCCCCAATGTCTACCCCGAAGCATCTGGGAAGCAGGTTCTGACCATGGACTTTATGGACGGACTTGCTGTGACACGGATTGATTCCTTTTCCCAGGAGCAACGTGACTGGATTGGAACGCAAATCATGCGCCTCTGCCTCAGGGAGATCACAGAGTTCAAGTTCATGCAGACAGATCCTAACTGGACCAACTTCCTTTACAACGCTGAGGCAGACCGGCTTGTTCTCCTCGACTTCGGTGCGTCTCGAGAGTACCCAGAAGAGTTTATCCGCCAGTATGTCCAGCTTCTAGATGCTGCTTCTCGCTTGGATAAGGCCACTGTGAAGGAACTGTCCGAGAGTCTCGGGTATCTGACCGGCCACGAGAGTAAGACCATGTTAGACGCTCACATGGGGTCCATCCTGACCCTTGCAGAACCCTTCCTAGGCACTGCGCCCGATTTGTATGACTTCAAGGACCAGACTATCACGGAGCGTGTCAAGTCCTTCATCCCTGTGATGCTTCAGGAGCGATTATCGCCGCCGCCCGAAGAAACATACAGCCTCCACCGAAAGCTGAGCGGTGCTTTTCTTCTCTGTGCAAGACTGGGAAGTAAAGTACCATGCCGCGAGCTATTCGTGCAAAGTGTTGCAAGGTCTGGCTACGGCCAGGCCTCGTAGCCTTTGTCTTCGCTTGTCATGATTCATGTATTACAACCACCATTCTGTACAATATAGATGTCTCATAAGTTCACCTGTACTAAAAACACGGCTATAGAGAGAGTGCATCGGGACCAACCCAAAACAGGGGTATCTAATGCTATCATTCCACTATGTATTCTAATATCTTTCATTCCGATCCGTGACTCTCTGGTGGAGCGAGTACAGCTCCTTCTTTTCCTTGCCCGCGACCTTCTTCCGCTTCCTCTCAATCGCCTTGTCGACCTGGCCCTTGGTCATGCCCGCGTAGCGATTCACCAGCAGCTGCTTCTTCTGCTCGCTCTTCTTCAGGTAGAAGGGCTGCTTGCCCTGCGCGACCATCTCCTTCTCCTTCTTCCTATGCTCGGCTAGCAGCGCCTCCTCCTCGTCCTTCCTCTTCCGCGCCTTCTTCTTCGACTCCATCGACAGTATCTGCCGCTTGAGATCCTCCTTCATCTCGGGGTCCTTGGCCTTCTTGGCCTGCGCCCGCAGCTCCGCCAGCTCCTTCTCGCGGTACTCGTCCAGGAATGCGTACGCCTTCTTCGTCCTGGCCTCGTTCACGCGCGCGCCGCCCCCAATCACGGGGTCGAACCGCGGGTCGCGGACGACGCGCTTGTTCTCAACTGAGACGACCTCTCGGCGTCGGGTCACGGGGCGCTTCGACGACTGTTCCTGGGGCGCGTGCTTGGACGTGCGCTTCGCCTTCTCGATCTCGGCCTTCTTCGCCTGGCGCCTGGACTCCCACGGATCCTCATCTTCGGGGTCCTCTTCTGTCTTCTTTTGTTTTTTGTGTCGTCGCTCCGATGCCGGCATCGAGGCTTGGGCGCGGGCGAGCGCGCCGAAAGATATGGAGGATATGTCTACTTTGGGCGGTGGAGGTTCGTCGTCGGATCCAGACTGTTTCCTTGTTAGCTAAGCTGTGACAAGAAGGAAGGGGTATTCTCCCCAAAGAAACGCATACCTCTTCTTCTGACCCGGATTCTTCCTCAGAATCTACTGCGTCCTTCTTTTTCTTGGTCGTGTGCATTTCCTCTTCTGAAACATCGTCGTCGGAGTTGGTCTGCTCAGATTCCAGTTCGGGCTCCCACTCCTCCTCCTTTCTCGGTCGCACACGCCTTTGCAGACCACCGGACGCTAATTTTCGCTTGGGTGCCATTGTGAGAATAGGCTTGTGGTCAAGAAACTTTTTTGATATACTGGCAAAAGCTTCCCACTCTCAGCTGGGCTGAGGTCATATTCAAAGTGGGCAGGCTGGACTTTTTCTCGTCCGATAAGGCTTATCGGTGAAAGTTCGTACTGCTTACATGAATTTTTTTCCCCAGCGGCGACCATGCAGTTAGCGGGGCGTCGCCGGTTTCACAGGCCAGCAACAGTTGGTAACACAGATGAGAGCTAGACTACGTAGATATTTCCCACCAAAAGAAATTAGGCGCCTAGCTACGTAAGGGCCGAGAGCTATATGCAGTGTGCCAGAAGAGCAGGCTCTTCACTCACGCAACGTACGCGTTGCTACGGATGTTGGCGAGTGAGATTCGCCTCACCCTGGACTAGAATCAAGACCAAGCCAAGTGATCACTCAGGGCTAGGATTCTCATCATCTGCTCAGATGAGTGACCATTACCCGACGTCTCCCACACATGGCTCGGAGATCAATGTCGTCGAGAGGACAATTGCGAAGGAACCAGTCACGGCGCCCAGTGTGAATCCTAGCGAAGTACCCCAGACTGAAGTCGTGATGGCTTCAAAGTGAGTTTGCCAAATCCGCCCTATCAAACGCCAGTATCTAATAGACGTAAAAAGAAAAAAAGAGCCCACTGCAAAGGGAATAAAGAGAAAGAAGAAGAGCAAAGTTACCACCAATGGCAAGACCACACAGAATGCAGACTCATTGCCCTGGTCTAGATCCAAGTAGGACCACATCATGTCTTTCCATCGATCGCCTGCCCACCCAGACTCTCTAACACCAGATTCAGAAAAGAGGAGCGAGATCCGGTCAAGACGCCCAGCCAAGCGTCCGGAGGCGTGCCGGATCCCACAGCAGACTACCTAGCACAGGCCGCAGGACCACCATCCACCCTCGCCCAGCCCCGTCGCATCCTCGTCGTCCTGGACCTCAACGGCACGCTCCTCTACCGGCCCTCCAAGCGGCGGCCCTTCCACTTCGTCGCGCGGCCCCACGCGAGAAAATTCATGGAGTACTGCCTCGACAACTTCCAGCTGGCCATCTGGTCGTCCGCCCGCCCGCAAAACGTCCACAAGATGGTCGAGAAGCTCCTCACCCCCGAGGACGTGGCCCGCTGCGTCGTCGTCTGGTCGAGGGAGCACTTTGGGCTCTCCACGGAGGACTACGACTCCCGCGTGCAGGTCTACAAGCGGCTGACCAGGCTGTGGACCGACCCGGCCGTCGTCGCCTCCCACCCGGATGCCGCCGGGGGAAGTTGCTGGGATCAGAGTAACACGGTTCTGGTGGATGATTCTCTCGAGAAGGGGCGGAGTGAGCCTCATAATCTCCTAGCCATTCCAGAGTTCACGGGTTTAGAGAACGAGTCGGCCGAGGTTCTTCCTCAGGTCCATGACTTTTTAAACGCGCTTTGCTGGCAGTCCGATGTGAGCAGATACATTCGGCAGACATCTTTCCAGTTAGATGAACACTACAAATTGGTGCAATGAGGAATGTCATGCCATTGGTGGCGTTCAGGGTTGCTTCTCGTAAGAAGACACTGTTCGCTGGTGTACCAAGAAACTGTAGGAACGGTTGTACAATATGCAAGCAGGAAGATAAATGTCACAGATGCGATAATTAAGACGGAGTATTTTACGGAACGGTATATTTTGAGAAGAATTCTAGATAAATTCCCCTTTATAGTTTGGAGCAAGTTGCATCCACCGACAAATGAAAAGTTTGGGATTGAAGTACAACATACTTCATGTCATGTTTTAATCATCATTACTCGTTTTCCTCTTTCCCTTGCATCTCACTCGTACTTGGGTATTCATCATCATTCCCAGTCATCTCGAATAAAGCGTGACCGTTTATTTGAAGACCTTGCCGTCGGCGTGCTTGTACTCCTTGCCGTTGACAACGACAGGGCGGTCCCAGGCCCACTGAGCCTCAACGAACTCACGGTCCTCAGGCTTGGTGGGGTCGAGCTTGGTGAAGGAGTAGCTCTCGTAGTCAGGGGCGACATCGAAGACAGGGAGGTACTCCTGGCCACGGATGACGAAAGCACCCTGGATGACGGAGTCGTTGTTCTCTCCGTAAACGGAAGCAGATCCGAAGATGTGCTTGCGGGAGGCTTCCAGACGAGCGTTGAAGCCACCGATGAGGTTGTTGGACATGAAGGTCAAAGTAAGCTCATCGTTGTACTTGTAGTCAACGCGCCAGATGGAGTAGTCCTCGAAGGGAACGGTAGCCCAGAAGTAGCGGAAAGACTCCTTCTCCTCGTTGTTGGAGAAGTAGCGCTTGAAGTCATCAAGAGCGTAAGCGGACTTGGGGAGAAGGTCGCAAGGGTGCTTGGGCTTGGGGGCAGCAGCAGCGGGCTCCTCCTCAGCAGCGGGGGCAGGAGCGGGCTTAGCAGCCTTAGCGGGCTTGGGAGCCTCGGTCTTCTTGGGGGCGACGTTGGCCAGGCCCTTGTCAAGGTACTCAAGCTTGGGGGCAACGGCGCTGTAGATGGGCTGGTTGACAATGGTGTCGAACCAACGGGTGACGTTGGGGAACTCCTGGCGCCACTCAGAGCCAAAGACGTACTGGAAACCACGGCTGGTGATTCCAGCGGCGAAGAGGTCAGCGAGGGTGATGCGGTCACCAACGAGGTAGGTGTGGCGGAGGAGGTAGTCCTCGACAACCTTGAAGGCCTTGAGAGTCTGCTTGGAGGCGTCATCAACGGCCTTCTTGTTGTATGGGTCACGGCCGACAAGAGGGCGGAACCAGCTGCCCACAGGGCCAAGGACCTCGGTGTTGAAGTAGGACAACCATCGGAGAATGGAGGCGTAGCTAAAGTAGGAAGGGTTAGAATTTCGCTGGCAAAGCTGGAATTGTATGATCCTTGACTTACTCCTGCTTGGTCTTGCCGAGGAGAGTGGTCTTCTCGTTCTGGGAGGTGACTGAAAAGCTGTCAGCAGATGACTCACTGGAAGCTTTGATTGTGCGCAAAGTATAGCAGTGGTAAGAACAAGGAAAATCAGATGTTAGACGATATCAACAATATATGATAATTTCAGACAGGGATAACTGTATGATTTGAAATGCTAGGTCATCATGGAAGCTTCACACCCCCGCAGCTGAGGTGGAAGTGTAAGGAAAGAGCAAAAAAACAGATGATGTTCACATACGGTAGACAGCGACGGCAATGGCCTCGGACAGAGCGAAGCCATCCTCGCCGAGGAAGGCGGGGATCTTGCCAAGGGGGCTGGCCTTGCGGTGCTCCTCGGAGATGTTGGCGAAGTCAACATTGACAATGTTCAGGTCGATGTTGTTGGCCTTAGCAACTGCCTTGATGGCAGTGCTGCGAGCATTGTCCTGTAGAACGCGCACGTTAGCAAATCCAAGCTGAAACTAGAAAGAATATTGGGCTGAGCTCCTTACGGCAGTGGTGAAGAGAGTTCCGAAAGCCATCTTGATTGAATCCTACCGAGCAGGCAGAGAGATGCAAGAGGTTGAGGAAGAGGGTGAGGTGATGAGGATGGAGGGGAAAAGCACGACAGGTGTCGCAAATTTTATTACAAGAAATTGCCCCGCGTTGCTCCACCAGGTATGGCACAGCAACCGCAAAATTTAAGTGGCGTGTGTGGCTGACGGCCCTATGAGGCTGGTGAGAGGCTATCACGTGATGCGATATTCATCGTGATAGGTCAGATTGGAAGTTTTTGACCTACGACGAGCTCTCCCGAGTAGCCCACCAACCACACCACCAGATCCCGACAACATCATGGCGTCGCTCGCAGGTGGCTTACGGCACCTGAGGTGCCATGGCCAACTTATGAAGCCACAATGGCAGCAGGCTCTTGCGATACGGCCAAGAATCGCTCCGAAAATGGGGGTACGACAAATGACGGTCGAATCGAACGGACCAACGAGGTCTGCCAATACTCCAACGAGCACAGAACCGATTACACTCCCATTTGTGGGTGTTCATCACGCACGACAGGTTCCAACCTCACCTTCATACTTCACCAGAGAGCCTCGCTTCAACGACCTCTACATTCGACTCACCCAGTTATTAAATAAATACCACCGCCTGCCAACTCTGCCCGCCAACGAGGCACCTACGCTCCCATGGATGAAAGTAGACCAAATCAGGCAGCAATTGGGCGAACCCGTCAAGTCTTCTCACTTTGCAAAGATGATCCGGGTCGGAAAGCGCTTAAATCTGATCGATCCAAGCCTGCGCCCGAACGAAATCGACATTGTCCTCCGTCAACTCACCCGGAATATTGATCCATATGTAAACAACATTCGACCCATCACGATTGACAAGTTTGGCCGTGCTATTGGTGTTGGCAAGAGAAAGGAGTCGACGGCCCGAGCATTCGTCGTGGAAGGCACAGGCGAGGTTCTGGTCAACGGCAAGCCTCTGAATGAGATCTTTGGGCGTGTGCATGACCGGGAGAGTGCGCTGTGGGCACTGACAGCGACCCAAAGGATGGATAAATACAATGTTTGGGCTCTTGTGAGGGGAGGTGGAACCACTGGGCAGGCTGAAGCTCTCACTTTGGCCGTTGCAAAGGCTCTGCTGGTCCACGAGCCCGCCTTGAAACCAGCTCTGCGCAAAGGTAAGTTCAAGAGACAAGATTCCAGATTGATCTGCACACGTAATCGAGAGGCTCATGCTGACATCATTTCTCAAACAGCCGGCTGCATCACAAGGGACCCCAGAACCGTGGAGAGGAAGAAGCATGGCCGTGTAAAGGCTCGCAAGAGTCCTGCATGGGTCAAGCGATAAAGAGCAATTGCTGCCAATGTATTTTGCTGTATGTATGTATATGGGCCACGTCCTTTTCAAGCCAAGCGGTTTCATGAAAGTGCGGAAGACAAGGCCCAAGAAGTGTCGGGATACAAAATAGCGCCCTATTCGACCGTTATGGGGCCGAACTGCGGTGCCGCAGAACTTATTTGTACAACACTATTTTTGGGTTAATAGAGCCATCCTCACCGGTTACCACAGACCTCAATGTCTACCTGAACCTACGACTCTTCAAGGATCTCCAATGTCTTTGTCAACCGAACCTCGAAACGGCGTCCCGCTTAGCTGATACGGCGACGGACCGAACGTGCCATTTGATGATTAATACGAGTTACGAGTTTGAAGGTACTTGATGGTCAAGGCGAGCCATGGCATTTGAAGCACGGCTCACAACATAAAAACATGGCAGATTAGCAACTAGGCCGAGGTTGGCATTGTGCGTATCATGGCAGCCGGCCTTACAATTTGAAATACTGGCCAGTGCGCAAAGGTGCTGACCGATGACAGATGCGATTCATGCGCCCCGGCAACGACTGGCGCCCAGACAGACACTAACAGAGGCCGCTAAGATGGTTTTGCATCGAAGTCCGTCCTAGGGTTCACCAGCGAGACTGGCGGCATCTCCGGTAAATGGAATTCGTTCCCATGAGCGTAAATCCACGGACGCAACGCTGTGCGCGAGGGGGGCGTGAAGCTCTCACCCCGGGATGTACATCCGGCTAGTAGGTAGATGGAAACTGGAACGTGAAGGCTGGCAGGGCATGTGCGTACCCGTGTAAACTAGGCATGCTTTTGTCCTAGCTAGCGCCGGACTCACTGTCACGACCTCAACGAAATCAGCTGATGCTGCTGACGACTTTGGGTCAATAAGGAAAAAGCCCACCGGCGCACTGGCGGAGAATGACGCGCGCCGCGGGAGTGTAGACGGTTAGCGGGCTCAGCACACCAGCTATCTCCATATTACAAGGGGAGAAGAAAAAAAGACACAACGAATGTAAATAAAAGAACTGGGCCTGTACCCTTGTCCTTGTCAACGGAAATCCGACAACGTGGTTTACAACCCTGTGAATGGGATCAGCCACGTTCACGGAGCGACACAGCGAACCTCTCCTATAGGTAGAGGAGGGACGGAATCTGGTTCACATCTTGAACAGAACTGGGGGAGCGGGGCGGCCTTAAGCGTTGCTGGAATCCCCATTGAAGCATTGCATACCTATGCGCCGCTCGCAAGAAAGCCGGCAGATGGCTTCGGTGCGTAGACGTCCGGGTCCCTCATTTCACGGAATGGGAGCTGGTGCTGTCGCGAGCCGGAGTGGATAGCTCAGACGCAGACATATGCAGCCTTTGATAGCTGAGCTGTTTTCTGTAACGCGGATTGGGCCTAGCGGGCTTCGAGCATGCGGCCAACATGCATCGTGAATTCCGCACCTTCTGCTTTCCGTCCCGCGTGTGATCCGGCGCCTCTGATTCAGAATAAATGAATAAAAAGAACGCCAAATAAACTAACGCCGAGTGAGGTCCAGGCACCGGATTCCAGAAAAG